TTATTTATACTTGCTCTGTGAGGTATCTAGACCAATGTTATTAAAACCGGCCCGGTCATTGACCCGGTCGAGGTACTGGGTCATTGGTTCACTAGTTCAACCAGTGGGTCACTGGTTCATCCGCATGACCCGGTAATTATATGCAATTTTATAATTTATATTAAAAAAATTATAAACATATTCAAATATCTAAGCAAAAATGACAAAAAATTCGAATATTTTAATATAAAAAATGATAAATCACGTATTATTATACAATAAAGGATCAAACAAAAATATAATGATCGTGATACGGGTCTTTAGTTCAGAAAATAACATCTCTAACTATAAATCAAATCAAAATTTTCTGCATAGTGCATAATGAGATAATATTAGTGTTGTAGGTACATAAATTATATAAGTCAATAAGCAAAAAATATATTTAAATATGTCTATTATGATTTTTTTTTGAAAAAAAAATTGGAATTTTTTTTGGACTGGGCCAGATCATCGATTAACCGACCGGGTCACCGATTTTCATGAAAACCGGCCGGGTTGGACCGCATTGCACCGGTTCTGATGCATGGCCGGTCCGTTGCTTGAACCGGACCGGTTATATGACCGTTTTACCGGTTCACGAGTCGATCCGACCGGGTCGGTTCAGGTTTAATAACACTGATCTAGACTATTCTTTTTGTTTCTTTATTTAATACATGGAGATTTTTCGAGACGGTTGGAGATACTAAGTATGGATACTTTTAGAGAAATAGAGAGAATTCTAATGAGGAAAGTAGACAATGATCATAAAGATTTCTAGAGATAAGAAGATTATTCCTGTTATCAAAAAAAAAAAAAAAAAGAAGATTATTCCATGGATATTTCTAGAAATATGAAGATTATTCTAACGAGAGTTCTAGTCATTACTTTTTTGAGATATGCTCTCCTGCTAGTACTATTATGCAAAGATTTAAACTTTTTTTCTTCGAAAAAGAACCAACAATGTGAATTAATGCATTAGTTATATTTATATACATTTATGATTAAAGTCACTCTGATTTGGTAGTTAGGATTGATACAGTGGCGAAGGATTTAGGTAATTTGCATAAGGTTGTAGATTCAAATATCAGTAATCTACTAGGATTGGTCTAGTTGTGAAAAATTTGGATAATTTACATGAGATCATATATAAGTTCAAATCACAATTATATATAAAAAAAGGGAAAAAAGTTTCCGATATTACTTTAGATAACTTTATCTAATGTTCATCGAAACGACGTCGTCTTGGGGTTGAAAAATTAAAAAATTAGAGTGATAAAGACTATTATAACCCTGAAATAAATTAAAATTACAAAAATACCATGATTTCCGTCTCAAAACGACGTCGTTTTGATGAACATTAAATAAAGTTATCTAAAGTAACATCGGAAAAAATAAACCCATAAAAAAATCACTCCGGTTTGGGTTTGATTTTATATGTCATCCTATATGTATTTATTTGTTTGGATAGTTTTTTTTTAAGAAATTGCTTTTTTTAAAGAGATAAAATAAATTGATTTTCACTCTATGAATATATTTAGATATACCTTTCCAAAAAATAGTAAAAGGAAAAATAAAGCTAAAATATTTTTTTATAAAGCCAAGATTCCTTGTTTATAAAAAATAATATATATATTTTTTTTCTTAAAAGCACTTTTTTTATAGACTTAAAAGCACGTTTTAAATATTGGTCCAAACACAACCTATGTTCTATTAACCTATATTTCTACCCAAAAAAGTCAAACTCTATATATGTTTTTATTTCAATTTTAATAAAAATAACATGTGAGAAAAATATGAATATACAGAATGATGTACTTTAAAGAAATAGTCACCCTTATATGGCAATATCAGTTATACCTTATGGTACAAGTGTTTGATGTGTATCAGTAACAACGGAAAGGAATTGTTGGTTTTATTTGGTCAGCAACCCCATTTTAACACTTACGGGCCTAATATTTTGACCCATAAGCTATATAGTGTGCAGCCCGCCCCATAACATCCCGGTGCATTAAACTTTTAACGTTGTTATATTTATAAATTTTTTATTTATAAATTTTATAAATTATATTATGTATTATGAATAATATATATTATTTGAGCATGTATTATCTATAGTATATAATGTAATTTGTAAGAGTTTGTAAACAAAAAATTTATAAATATAATATATCCCTTAAACTTTAAGTAAATAAAATTAATGATATTATTTCTCATATTGTATAAAATAATTTTATCTTCTACACACTTATAAAAGTATGTGGGGCCCATATGGGACTATGGAAAGAGAAGAGACAAAAAAATAACATAAGCCATACACACTTTTATGTGTATAGGGGATAAATTTTTTTCTTATAACATGAGAAACATTAATCCCATAAAATTACATTCTTTCAATGCATTTTAGGTTTTGATTTAAAAATAAGGATTTGATATTATGTTGTAAGAGATAAAGTTATTTTCTACACACACATAAATATGTGTGGGGCCCATATGAAGAGAAGAGAAAGAAAAAAATATGAGTCACACATATTTTTTATTTCTGTATAAGAGACAAAATTATCTCCTACAATATGAGAGATATTAAATCTTACGGGGGTGTTTGGTACCCGGATTTTATTTCTTTTCCCGGGATAGCTTCCTATCAGGCAAATGAATCCACCGTTTGGTTCGTCAAAAATGAAAAAAACCCCTGAGTTGAAATCATTCATGACAAATCCTATCATGTGTTATCTACAGTACAAAAATCAGAAGAGGAAGTTAATTGAAAACATGGAACTTTGTCGATGCCCGGGAAATATAAAACGAGGCTTACAAAATTTGACGGAACTATCCTTAAAAAGTAAAGCAGGTACGGACCTCTTTATTAATATGAACTGCAACCTTCCCACTAATATAACACAGAACACCCTTTTTTTTATTTAAAAAAATAACGTTAACCTGAGGTCAATTTTGTCAAATAACATCTCTTTCCCACTAATATTTCACAACTAACCAAACACATATTCAAACACATATTCAGTAAAATTAACCATATATTCCCGGAAAATGTTTATCATACCAAACACCTTTTAATAATATTCTGAAAAACATATATTTCTCACTATATTTCAATAATAATTGTTTCCCGGATTTTAAAAAATTTCTCCTCTAGCAAACGCCTGCTTGACCCAAGATTAATTAGGTACATGATCTAATCACAGGTAAACTATGCATAAAACCTTATACAGATCAATTTATTTTATTTTATTTTCTTAATTTTATTGCTAATATGATTTTATTGTATCTCATGTAGGATGAAACTTCACGTCTTCACACTACATGAAAGGAGTTCTTTTTCCTGTGTTACATTATCATTGACGCGTGCTTTTTTGTTCACAAAACTCCACTAATTAATCAGCAAGTATATACCTTGTTATCCTAATTCATGAAGCTTTAACAATGTGTTCATCTTTGTTAGTCTCCAATTTCAAAGTTGAAGCACAAAATTAGATAATTCTCAATGCTAGAAGCCATTATGATTGGTATAGTGGTGAGCGCTTGAAATAGTTTGTATGAGGTCATAGATTTAAAGCTTAGTATTTCCGTTGTATTAAACAAAAATTAAGGAGAAACTCATGTTGAAAAACATGATAAGAGATTAAGAGCAATAGAGAAAATTGAAATAATATGAGACGCGAATATTTGAATTTAATAGAATGAATAAACGTGTATGATACAAACTAATATAAGATAGACTATTAGTAACTAACCACACCTAATCACGTATGCATCTAACTAATAACTAACTACCTAAACTTATCATCAACAAACTCTAATATTTACACTATTATGTGATGCTCAATACACTTTCTTTGAAACACCCAAAAATTTCTATTTTTTATTTTATACTTTAAACAATGGATTTAATATTTCTGTTTATATTTTTTTTTTCTGCCACACTCACCTAAAATCGAGAGTGAGTTCCATTATATTCTACTAAAATTTTCTCCCTCTTCTTATTATAGTGGGATCCTATTTTCCCTTAAACAATTTATAAAAATAATTATATACTTTTTGATCCTATTTTTCAAGTTCCCGAAGAATTTTGGTTTCCTTTTCCGCATTAGTAGTCCCACAAAATGAGGGAATACGGTTTCCTCCGAATTAAAAGGAATAATCATTCCACTCTTGGAATCATAAACCCAATATATTCATACCTTTGTTTTTTCAAGACGACAAGGTGCTCCACATCCATCTAATATCTTTTTTGGATACATAATATTTCTCCTAATCACAAGTACTTTCATTAAGATTCCAACCAAAAATTATACTTATATATATATATATATATATTTCCTTAAGGTTTACTTTACAACTACATTTTTTATTTTTTATTTTTTTCATTTCTTGACCAACCTTCATGTATGGTATGACCTGATATATATATATTTATGTATTAAAGGAGTTCCTTGGGCATTAAGTGGTGAAGTTAGTTATTGACGAAGCACGTTAATTTATATATATTTTTTAACTTGATTGTAACCGCAACGCCAGCATTGCAACGGCCAGAGGCACAATTTGCCGGTTGAGTTTGGAACTCAACACAAAACTCCTTGATGCTTCCACCACCTATTTGCAATAACAAAGTGGTTTTGGTTAAATTTTATTCAATCATAAAGTACATATTTGTAACCATCTTTGAAGAACTCAATAAAATAACACACTCATGTCTCTTATCTTGATAACAACCAGCATCTATCCTACTTGGAATTTCCAACTTAACCAGCAAGCTTACAAGTTACAACTATGCCAGCCCAGAAACACTCCTCAAAAGAAGAGCAATAGACAACTTGATCTTTGTTAGGAAAGTTACAAAAAGTCCACATTATTATTATTGTAACCCCAAATACTTATAATGGGGTACCATTCATTCATTCATTTCATTCCTATAAAATGGTTCAATTTGGAAGGGTGAGACAGCATCCAGAACACCCCATTTGGCAATGGCAACTTTAGAGGAGACAAAAAATGTTGCTATCATATTTGGGGTCACTGGACTAGTTGGGAGAGAGTTGGCTAGGAAGCTACTTTTAGAATCTTCTTGGAAGGTTTATGGTATAGCTAGAAATCCAGAGACACCGTCCACTCTTATTATAAGCCCTTGTTACCATTTCATTTCTTGTAATTTGCTGAATCCTTTGGAGACTCAGAAGAAGCTGTGTGGCTTACAAGATGTGACACATGTGTTTTGGGTCACATGGGCTAGCCAGTTCCCATTAGAGACCCAAGAAAGTTGTGACCATAACAGGACCATGATGTCCAATGCTTTGGATTCTATGCTCTCAGTAGCCAAGAATCTAAAGCATGTTTCCCTTCAGACAGGGACAAAGCACTATGTATCACTGCAGGCCACTTTTGATGAAGAAAAGGTACACTATTACCATGAAGAGTTTCCAAGAATGAGCAAAGCCCCTAATTTCTACTATGCCCTTGAGGATTTGCTCATGGAGAAATTGAATGGTAAGGTGTCTTGGTCTGTGCATAGGCCTGGTTTATTGTTGGGATGTTCTGTTAGATCATTTTATAACTTCATGGGTAGCTTATGTGTTTATGGGGCTATTTGTAAGCATTTGAAGCTCCCTTTTGTGTTTGGGGGAACAAGGAAGTGTTGGGAAGAGTCCTATATTGATGGGTCAGATGCTAGGCTTGTAGCTGATCAACACATTTGGGCAGCCACAAAAAGTGATAAACTTTCCACCAATGGCCAAGCTTTCAATTCCATTAATGGCCCAAGTTTCACTTGGAAGGAGGTTTGGCCAATTGTTGGGAAGAAATTTGGGGTGCAAGTTCCCCAAGACATGTTTGTTGAGAATTTTTGGTTTACAAAAGCCATGGCTGAGAAGGAGGGAGCTTGGGAAGAGATTGTGATGGAAAATGGGTTGGTTCAAACAAGCATTGAAAATTTGGCTAACTGGGAATTTCTAGATGCCTTATTTAGATTCCCTTTGAAACTCTTGGGGAGCAGAAATAAAATTGATGAGCTTGGTTTTGGTGCAAGGTATAAGACATTGAATTCAATATTGTATTGGATTGATTGCATGAGAGATGAGAAGTTGATTCCCTAGAGGCTTCTTGCTAGCTTTGACTTCAACTTGGGAGTGTTTGGTAACAGAAATTTATGGAGCACCATAATATGGGTTTTTCCATAAGAAAATTAGTGGCAAGGTGTTCTTTGCATGTGCTAGTTGACTATCTCTTTTATTTTTGCATATTTTACTAGTTTACATAGAGATGGAATCATCTAATTTAATAATGTATATACCTTGTTTTCCACATTACTGTCCCCAGGTGTCACTTATGTGTGGCCACGGGTAGAGGGTTGCTTTCTCTTCTACATGCATTGGCAATAACATATTGTTTTGGTAACCCTATCTTTGGATTTAGCATATGCAATCACTTCCCACAAATTCTTTTTTTTTTTTGGCAGTAGTCCCACCAACACAATTAAAAGATAAAGGAATTTTATTTAAGCTCGGATCACACAGTTTATTAAAATGTACATTCAAGTTTTTTATTTTTTTGGTCTTGTTTTCATATGAACTTTAATTGACTAAATGAAAGAGCCAATGGCCATATAAACGAAACTAGACAAAGGCATAGAAACTTCGAGAATGGATCTCTCATGATTTGTTTTAACACAAACTCAATGATCCAATGGTGTAGCTCACTTGGTTAAGGGATATTAAGGAATGTGGGAAAGTCCAATTCTTCCCAATACCTTTCAAATTCAACTCTCTTCCCTTCTAATCTTCTTTTGCCCCCTATCCTATGCCCCCAACTAGGAGCGCATTTTTAGTACCACGGGAGTACACCTAGTGGTGGATACTACTATCATTCAAAAAGAGAAATTTCTATTTAATAAGATAGTCGCTAGCGACTATCTTTACTTTTTTCTCTCCTCTGCACTGACATATTGTCATGTTAGTGTTAGTGTTTGATTTTTATTGGAGGGATGTATGGAAAAGTGGGTGGGACAGGAGTATTTTAGATATTTCCCCCACTAGAAGGGCATTCATGAGCCTTACTAGGGGAAATTTTTAAGGTACCACGGTGGTATCATGTATTCAGTGGAAAACACCAATCAAAAATAGAGAGAGAAGATGAAAGTGAGATGAAAAAAATAAAAAAAATATATATACAAGTGGCAAATTTTGAAAGGAAGTAGTATATATCACCGTTGCACCAAAAGTTTGCTCCTTACTAGGGCCTCCTTGACCGGATCCCGTAGGGTGGAACTTTAAGTATTCCCAAACAAAATTGAAATATGCGCATTAAAAATAATGAAGTTGGGACAAATTATCCTTGGATTACAATATTTTTCTTTCTTGGAAATTTAGTTTTGTTGAAATGCTATTCTTAGCTCTTGGATAAATCAATTGAACATTACACGTATTCTGATTTTTCATTATGTATTAAATGCATTAAAATCAATTTAGCAGAACGCATTTTATTCAAACAAGAATCAATTCAACCCAAAAGCTTAAGCTGTTGTGTGAGGTTACATTAATAATTTTTTATATATCTCAACACGCCCTCTCACACGAGAGCCCACTGGGCTTGAAGGGTGAACAATGCACAGGCCCACCTACCCGTACGAAGAAAGAAATTTCACAAGAAAGAAAGTGGGGGTGGTGAAGATCGAACCCGGGACACAGGCCCACCTACCCGTGCGAAGAAAGAAATTCCACAAGAAAGAAAGTGGGGGAGGTGAGGATCGAACCTGAGACACAAGGCTCTGAAACCATGTAAAGAACCAATTTAACCCAAAAGCTTAAGCTGTTGGGTGAGGCTACATTAATGGTATTTTATATATCTCAACACAAACTATTCATACAGCATCAAATAATCAACAATTTAACTTCACAAGAGCAATAAATCCTGAAATTCAACATATATTTTTTTCGTACAAAGTTCGACATCCTGAACCCTGCTGATATCTCTTCCTAGTGAACAAGGAAGAAGAAATAAGGAGAATAACAACAACAGAAGCTGAATCTTCTACAGTTATTGATGTGAAATGTAAACAAACTACAGCTAAAATTTAATCCGTAGAGCAAATGGCACCATTGAGGAAACATGTCAACACACAGATGAAAGCCACCATAACGTGCACTACATGTGATGGTTCCCTCAGTCCATAGTTTTTATGTATTTCAAGATGGCTATGCAACAATGAAGATTGTCCATTGTAGGAATCATCAATCATTGTGTTTAGCAGTAGCTTATTTGATATTAAACTCTATTCTTCAATCATCTCCTTTGGAAATTCAAAACTTTAACCGATACAGCAAAGGAACCAAAGAAAAGGATGTTGAAGCAAATAAGCACGATTGCTGACACCAACACTGCTGAGACACCATTAATTGTGGGATCATATCCAAGAGTAAGAGATATATACTCTTTCACAGTGCCCTTAAATCCAGGTCCCACAATTATGTCTTGCACATCACCAAGCTGAGATGTTACAATGCCACGTAGTGTCCAAGCAACTGGGCAGAGATAATGGAACCAAATCCAATATGCAGGAATATGCTGAAACATTGCAAGACTCATTGGCATTAGGACTAAAACAAAAATGTTTAGACACATTTTAAGGTACATAGATAAGGGCTGTTTACTCACAGATTTTGGAATAAGAAAACCTGATACAAGATTCCATAGAGAATAAAATGCAGAAGAAATAACAGCTGCTAAATGTTGAGTAGGTGTAACACCAACAGCCATCATGCCGTAAAAGGTGAAGTAGGTAAATGTTAGGAACAGGAAGATAAGATACAGAAAAAACTTTCCTGCATTAGACGGAGAAAAAAAGAAAAAACATAGTCTCGTGTTAGTGTTTTTCAGAGGGACAAATTTTAAGAAAATAAATAAAGGGTAAAGGATTTCTCTTATCTCCGTTGAGTCCAAAAAACGACGTTGTTTTGGGGCGGAAATTTTTTGTAACTATAATATATTGCAGAGTTATAATAGTCTTTATCATTATAATTTTTTAATCTTATAACCCAATACGACATCGTTTTGAGCTCACTGGAAATAACTTTATCTCCGATGACCGGAGAAATACTTTTTCGCGTAAATAAATGTGTAAGTGAATTTTTTCTTAATTATAGGCAGCTATCTATTTAACCATTACCTATTTGAACTACATGGGGTGTGATTAATGTAATTAAAAATGAAAAGTCCTAGTTTCTATGATGTAAACCTTAGGTGGATTCCAAATCCATGATCCAGGAAGCATTTCAATATGGAAAGCTGAGATCTTACCAATATTCCTGTCAAAATTGACCATGAAATATGTGATTACACCAAATATTAATGTCTGAAAAAGAATGTATGGAACCTCCACCAGCCCCTGTAAATCATATTAGGTAATCTTGATATGCAATCTGCACAGGAAATTTGACATTGAAAATCATTTTCAGTACAGTGACACCTACTTGTGCTGTTGCATATGCAATTGGAGAGTACATTCCAGCTGCTTTCTCTCTATAAAACACTGTCCTTTCTATTGAAACAACGGGTTGCACAGAAGATGCATTATTTACCCCAAGGAACAAGCATGCAGAGAAAAGTGCACCCATAATTACAATCACTTGTTGAGTTGATTCCCTGCAGAATATCCATTGACATGGTTATTACTACTTATGCCTATATTTTCATTGATAAGATACTTCTTCTTATGTGACAAATGAGATCATAAAGGATGCATACCTTTTTGAACCAATGTCCCAAAATACGGAACCAAATATCAAAGCGCTTATTACTGTAAATATCAACCTCATTGCATTATATTGTGGACTTCTCCAGTACACAAGATTTTGCTTCCATAAACACCTGAGAAATTGTGACCATGTGCCTTGTGAATATAACGTGTCAAACTTCAATGGTTCTGAGCCAGCAGGAGGTTCTCCATATTGCATAATAGAAGTTTCCACCCCCCTGAGATAAGGATATGACATAATCATTAATCTCTAAAGGAAACAATCTTCTATGGACAAGGTTGCAACCTGATGATTTTTATTTTCCTCAAAAAAATAAAAGATCTTTTGTTATTGTTATTATTATTATTATTATTATTATTCATTGATCTCATCCAATCCCTCAAACAGGAAGTTTAGGGGAGACCTTGACATAAAAATAAATAAAGGTCACCTGAATTGTTCAGAATTTTGGTAAAGATCTGCAAAGTCTGAACCAATTTTCCCTTCAACAGCAGCTGTGGTAACCTCAAGCATCCAAGTAGCTGGATTGTAACCACTAGGGATTGGGGGGATTTCATTGATACTCTGCAATCAAATAGGAAAGAAATTTCAAAAAAAAAAAAAAGAAAAAAAAAATCCTTCAGAAAATAACTCAGTTCAGGCTAGAACAAATTAGGGAATAAGAGATGCTAAATAAGGTCAACTCAGGACACACAAGTAAGGTCATGGCTGATTATGCTCTATAGCCTAAACTAATACTGAACTTCGATCTGTTCATAGCTCCTCCATGTTCTTAAAAAAGCTAGAAGTAGGAAGATCAATTTGAGAATAAAAGCTTCCAACATGGAGGTTCAAATATTTTTGTAGCAAAGCCTAACAATTTTAAGGTAGAGTGGGAGGTTTCAATTTACCAAAACAACTGTCAAAGAACCATAAAAAGAATTCTACAATATCATTCTGGTATTCACAGATTTCAAAACATATAAGCCTAGAAGTAAAGAGAGACATTGAAGAAAGAGAGGAGCAAAGGTGGAAGGTTTTATAATAAAGGATATTGGCTTAAATTCCATGGAAGGTATTGTAAGGGAATGGGAATGCAAGAAAATATAAAAGAAATAATTGAAAGGAAATGTCACCTGAAAATAGTTTATCAGAACATCTGATTGCCTACCAATCTTCCCACCATATATAACTCTTCCTCCGCGTTTCATAAGAAGCAACTGGAATGATGAAAGAAAGCTTGAATCTCTGAGATAAGCTACTACTTGATCATTACTTATAACAGAAGTAAATTGACTAGAAAATAGTAATTTAACAACTAACCTCATCAAATGCTTCAAATATATCAATACTTGGTTGATGTATGGTGCAAACAACCGTTCTTCCAGTATCAACAGTATTGCGAACAGTTCTCATAACAATGGCTGCTGCACGTGCATCAAGTCCTGATGTAGGTTCATCCATGAAAATTATGGAAGGGTTTGCTACAAGCTCCACAGCAATTGTCAACCGCTTTCTCTGCTCAGTGGATAAGCCAGAAGTGCCAGGCATTCCAACCAAAGCATCTCTTAAACCATCAAGCTCTACTAGTTTCATTACTTGTTCAACAAATTCCTGAAGAGAAGGTCACAATATCAGTGAATTGCTGTGGGAAATAATTGAGCACAAAATGACTCAGGAAGGGAACTTACATGCTTTTTTTCTTTGCTCACTTCCTTTGGAAGCCTTAATGATGCAGAAAACCATAGGGACTCCTCAACAGTCACCTGAGGAGAATGTATGTCATTTTGTTCAACATATCCTGCTATTCTGGCAAATGTGTGTTGAACTTTTGGGTAGCCAGATATTTTAATATCACCCTCAATATAACCTCCTGTTTTCCTTCCAGCAAGCACATCCATTAAAGTTGTCTTTCCAGCTCCACTTGATCCCATCAACGCCGTTAAGACACCGGGCGCGAAAACTCCACTCACATTTGACAAGAGCCTCAACCTGGATTCTGTTATGCCTTGTTTTTTTATCTCCTGGAAAAGCAGTTCATTCAGAAACAGTTCATGGAGAAGTCAACTAACACTACTTTGTGTTTATCTTACCTTTGGCATATCAACATAGTAATTGACATTGTGGAATGTCATTGTCAATGGTTGAAAAGGAAGAATCATTCCCTTGACTTGGCTGTCCCCACCAGTAGATTTGGAACTTATTGTTGATTCTTTACTATCTTTATCTTTACTATTTTGTGAGTCCTCATCATCAGAAAGAATAATTGCTCGTGGTTTTCGGATTGCTTTGGCATGCAAAAGTAAAAAAGGAGCATAAAACAGGTATCCTTAATTGGAGAAAATGAGCTTCCATTGATTAAAAATGGGAACAAAAAGAAAGAGGAAAATTGTTCAAAACTTACGATTCAGATAATTCAAGGCCACAGTGACCAAGTTGTTGAAAAGCAATGAGTATGCTGTTACAACTCCAAGACCAGCCCAATACCAGTAATCATCAGTTGGTAAATTGAATCCATTGAGAATATTATAACCAACTGTGGTGTCCCCAAAAGCAGAATGCTAAAAAAGAAAGTTACCATAATTCCATAAATCTTCCATAAACTATTTACAATAAGGACATAAAACCAAGCATAAATTTAATTAGCATGCATAAAATACCTCCATCCATCTTGTGGCAGTAAATTCATTGACTGAAATTGCTCTTTGTCCATAGGTAAGAGGTGACAACCAGTAACCCCAAATCCACCATGGCTTAATCATACCTGAAAGAGTAACAACAATCAAATTACTAACTGCAATATATCATTATATCTGCATTTTATCCAATAGTTCTTGATGTAGCCTACCTTTTGGGATAATAAATCCTCCCAGCAAGAATATAATCATCAGTGCAGCCGATCCAAATGTATTAGCAAGGACCATATCGCGTGCAAGAGAAGCCATAAACTTGAAGAGACCTAATGCCATTTGGTGCACCACGAATAACAAAAGCATGAAGCGGAAAAACCTGGAATGAATGCAAAGACTATGAGTCCTGAAAAGGAAAAAGAAAAAAAAGAAAAGAATCACAACAAAGGATGTAAAGAAAAGTACCTTCCAGCTGCAGGGGCAAATCCAACAGTGTAGTATACAACACAAGTCCATATAATAGATTCAACAATGGAATAAGGTACTTGGAGAATCCAAGTGGAAATAGACCATGTCCAAGCAGGATAAAATAAATTGTTTCTTTGTTTATAAAAGACAGGGAGCCGAGATATCATGAGAGATAACTCAGAATATCCATTAAACATCATATGCACCAGTCCAAAAAATAGTGCAGATTGATAGAGATTTCCATAAGCCTCATCTTTAGGATGAAATCTTGCATCTAGGAACATCGTGCATGTGACAAATCCAACAAATGCAACCTTTGACAACATGAGAAAATTGTTAATTATAAAATTATGAGAAGATGCCGTAAAACAATAATCAAAAAATTCACAAAACACATCCCTATATATTGACAAGTGTTCTGTGAAAGTGGTGTCAAGAGAGTTTGTACATTAGTTATTCTATTGATCTATATAGTACAGATTTTATAGCGTAAAATTTATTGTCTGCTGGCCATCATTGCCTATATGTTGTTTTGACTATTGGGTTCATTATGTACAGATACTTTATTTTGAACTCTATACTTATATGATCATCATGCTTATGAACTCTACTTGTAAGTTGTGAAATATTAATGGAACCTTCCTAACACATCATGAATTCTACTTGTACAAGATTTAAGTTGTTAAGAACCTTGAGGTCACCACCCCAAAAGCTAGCTTAAACGGTAGGAGTGCCCAAGACCTTATAAACTCCACATTAGTTGCACATACAACCAATGTGGGACTATATATCTCAACACGCCCCCTCACACGAGAGCCCACATGTGGAAATCCCACTACAAAGAAAATGGGAGGCGGTGAGATTTCGAAAGCTCTGATACCATGTTAAGAACCTTGGGATACATCATCCCAAAAGCTAGCTCAAAGGGTGGGAGTGCCCAAGGCCTTATAAACTCCACATTAGTTGCACATACAACCAATGTGGGACTATATATCTCAACACGCCCCCTCACACAAGAGCCCATTGGGCTTGAAGAGTGGACAATGCAACAGACACAACCTACCTCGCCGCCCCCCACTTTCCCACTTTCTCTTGTCGCGTTTCTTAGCACAGGTAGGTTGGGTCTGTTGCATTGTCCACTCTTCAAGCCCAATTGGGCACTCCCACCCTTTGAGCTAGCTTTTGAGGTGGGAGTGTCCAAGGCCTTATAAACTCCACATTAGTTGCACATACAACCAATATGGGACTATATATCTCAACATAAGTATTGAAAACTGTTTACAGAAACAAGTTCAAGTGCATCATTATCTAATCAAGTTTATATATACCTGGCAGGTCCTAAAAATGTAAAGAAACCTATTCCTGCTGATCAAGGTCAACTCTCGTGACAAGCAAGCCTTAAAGAGATCCCACTTTGACACAGCAAATCTAGTTTTGGGCAATGCTGAAGGATGACTCTTTGACTTATCAAAGGGAGCATTACACATGGATTCTACAGACTTTCCAAATTTGGAATTTTTAAAAGCTTCTGCAATCTCTGGAACTGAAATAAATTTATATGGTTTTGAAGAATCAGTCCAGTATTGAGCTTGATCTTTTTTAGATGTCACCTGACATAGGAAAATACCAAGTTAAGCAATAACTTCAGAAATCATTTGACCATAAAAAATAAATAAATAAAAATTATGAAAATACCTCTTGAAGAAAATCTGCAACTCCCTTGCGTGATGGAAGTTTGAAACCTAAGGATTCAAAAAACTCCAGCACATCTTCTCTGGGGCCTTCATATACAACATACCCATCTGACAGAAGCACAAGATCATCAAAGAGCTCAAATGTCTCTGGTGCGGGCTGAAGAAGAGCCATTAGCACTGTAGCATCCATTTGATGAACAAAATTTCTTATGCATTTTACTATCTGGAATGTGGTTGAGCTATCAAGTCCAGTTGATATTTCATCCATAAATAGAGCTTTTCTTGGTCCAACAATCATTTCTCCTGGAGAATAAAAAAAAGTGTAATGCAAAACCATGTCATTGCTTGCTAGAACTTTTCAACTTTTTGTAATGTCTTAATTCTTCTAGTATAAACACAGTTACAACAAATATGGATTCAATTTGTATTATCTAGAAAATTATGGATTCCTAGAACCTTACATGCCAGCATCATTACCATAGAATTTGCTATCAAATGTATGAACTAAGTTTCTCAATTATTATATATAAAAATCACTCCCCGTTAAACTCAGGCTATCGAAGGTAGGGTGAGCTTATACTCAGCCTTACTTTGTATATTTGTAAAAAAACGGTTTCCTGAATTCGAACTCGTGATCTTTCAATCATAAAGAAACAGTTTTACTTCTAATCTAGGCGAACCCTATTTAATTTGTTATCCATGATATCAACAACAAAATTACAAATGATATCTACTTTAAATTCTGTAAGGATACATTTTGCATTACAGGTAGAAATAATTAACTTCATCTTAAAAAACAAATATAGAAAAAATAAATAGAGGGTTTGATTTGGAACCTCTTTGTATGCAGCATCAAAGAGGTAACCCAATTAGATTAAGTAACTTAAGAACCTAATATCAAAGAAAATTGCAACTAATTTTTATAGAGGGGAGAGAGATCACCTGTTGTAACTCTCTTTTTTTGGCCACCAGAGACCCCCCTTATCATTTCATTGCCTACAACCGTATCTGAACATACATCAAGACCAAGCACTCTCAAAATATAATCTGTCATCACACTGTGCTTTTTGCCACCAACAGATGCTGCCTGTGGAGTAAAATTCAATTTCAAACACACTACATTAGAACACCCCTGAACTTGCATGTATGTATGATTTTCAGACATTTAAGATTAGTCTACCTTCATAAATGCATCAGTTTCTGGACTTGGAAGTATGTTTTTTTCCTTCTCTAAGCGTTCCAGATTTTTCACATACCCTGTTTATAAAATTAGACAAGGAAATTAAGTAATTGAATTGTGAAAATGAAATTAAAAAAATAAAATAAAATTGTACATTGTAAAGAGCTAATATACCTCCATCATTTGAACCTTGACATCTATTTGCAAAATCAAAAGTTTCTCTCACTGTCAATTCTGCTATGTGATTATCAGTTTGGCTAGTGTATGCAGAAGCCCTTTGAATACAAAACTCGTTTTGTTCATGGCCATTGTATGTTATGCTACCACTTCTCTGCAAAGGTAATTTATAGAAACAAAGTGTGTAATTTAATTTTAAGATGAGAATGAAATTTTGAAGAATGCTATGACGTATCAGAATTCTTGTTGTGCTAACATGCAATTGATAACTGGAATTCTCAAGAATTGAACTCATACTAATTAAGAAAAAATTAACTAGTGTGTTGAAATTGAGAGATTCTTAAACTACATTGATCCAATAAGAAAATAACATGTGTATTGCATAATCATTTATATTGTTAGATTAAAACTATTATTAAATTAGATCTTGACGTTTACAAAACTAGAGAGATATAAGAACTTTTTTTGTTGAAACTTGTATTCTCTTATTTTATCACCCAAAAAAAAATTGAAATTTTTTTTAGTGTCAAAAACAAATAAAAATAATGTACAATGGAATTTGTGTGTAAATAACATAATTGCAAATTAAATTGTACAATCTTTATATCCAAGTATAAGAGAAAGCTTGGAAACAAAACCATTAAATTACATATTGAGTTTTAAGTTGAAATATTTTAGAATTTAGTAGTCAAGAAACTCTCTATATCATAAAAAAGAAAGAAACTACATATTACATAAATCAAGTTTTTTATTTCCAAGAAAAAAATTAACTGCTTTTTAAATAGGTGGTATTATATGATTTGCTAACACTGTAAAATCTGGATCAAATTGAACCCAAAATTTTAATGCCACAATATAAAGTAAAAGATAAATATAATAATAAAAATATAAAGTTATTTGTATTCAAAATGTTGACTAAATAAGGTTAAACTATATAATAGTTTAAAATTTATTTCAAAGAACCAATATATATATATATATATATATATATAACTTTAATACTTTATAAATTAAAAAATTATATATAAAATTAATTTCACCTAAAAATTTAAGGTAGGTGAATGTTATATTAATAGTTTTATATTATATTTTTGTAACACGATCCCTAACACAAAAGTTTATTAGATTTAAAGATATATAATTATAAAATTATTTTCTATGATGATAAAACAAGAATTGCTATATTATAATAGGAAGAGTTATATTTACAAACTTTTTATTTTCAAATTCTTACAAACTACACTATGTACTCCGGGAGAACTCTAGGTTACACTATGTTCTCTCGGAGTACATAATGTAATTTGTAAAAATTTGTAAAATAAAATTTGTTAACGGATGGTTCCCCTTGTATAAATACATATATACTACCTTGAGGCTGCCATCAAGTTTTCCCGCAAGAGCCAAAAGTAAGGTAGTTTTGCCCGATCCTGGAGGTCCTAACAGCAATGTCATCCTACTCAACAACAGTTAACGTCAAGTTGGATACTCATTACAACACAAAAACATATATATGATAGTGTCGAATTTCTCTATCAAAGATCCCTTCTTTCAATTGTATACTTTACACATTAAAATAGTACATGTTTCATTTATTATTTTAAGACCATTTTAATCTTATCACTCTTACTATTTGATTCGTTACTATTGAGTCAATTTGAAATCAATAGTAGTTAATTTTTATTTTTTTTAATCGTTGATTTCAAATTGATCCAACGATAATCAATCAAATAGTAAAAATAATAAGCTTAAAATAATAGTAAGTATAATCGTACCCTTATTTTAATAGTTAAATTTTTTTATTCAATTCACTATTCCGTTGCAAGATGTTTGGCTAAATTTAAGCACTTCGTTGTTTTATTCCAATGCATATGAGCAGGAGCTAGGTAATTAGTATATATTTCCATTGCTTGAAGTGAGGGCTTCCATCAATAAAAATATAAAATAAAATAAGTAAATAAATTAAAAAAACAGAGGAAAAAACATTACGTACCTCCCAGGTTTGATAACACCACTAATATTATTCAAGATGGTCAAAGAATGTCTTTTAGGTCGACCTATTCCCAAGCTCGTTACAAAACCCTGCATGCCACCACCACCGTGGATATGAATCAGTTTGCATTGTAACTATTCACAACAATCTTTATGATACATTAGGTAAATACTCAATTTATAAATTTGTTTTAAATATTCATAATTTCATTATTTTTCATGTTATTATCATGAATCTATTTTTTGATACATAGGACTATTGTAGGAGACAAAAGAAGAAGCAAAAGACAGAAGAAGCCAACCAAAATCTCATGTATGACCATTTAGACATTTACAAAAATGTAAATATTTTAAATTTACACTTAGCTTTATTGTCAATCTTAAAGCCTGTTTGGATCTTCTTATTTTTAAGCTATAAACTACTTATAAGCTAAAGTAAAAAAAAAACTTTAAAAAAGAAACTAAAAGCTGTTTAGAAATTACATAAAAAATTTAGCTTAAAAATTACTTAAAAGCACATATTTTAATAAAATTATCTCTCTCTATCTTTATTACTCTTCATTTTAAAAAAAACACACAATTCAAGAAAAACAAATAAGAGCTTAAAAAAAAGCTCCTCCTAGGAGCTTTTAATTTTCAACTTTTTTTTTATTATAAAAAAAAGCTTTTCATTATAAAAGCTTTTTCAAAATCTGTTTATCTTAGCTTATACTAATAAGTAGCTTCTAGCTTAAAAATAAAAAGATACAACATGCACTTAGACTTGTAAAGCCACTTATCTATGCCAAAGTGGACCGTATGCAATAAGATAAAGATAAAGATAAAAGAAGAAAATTTGATTTTTTTTACCCAAAAAACTATTCTATCAAGTTAATTATTATCATATTATTTTGTGAGTCTACATATATGTAGACATAAAGATAATAAAATTCAAAATATAAGAAAAAAAATATTAAGTTTCACTTCTAAATAAAAAAAATCCATACATTTGTCATAAAAAAATTCTTAGATTTAGGAATTAAAAACAAGTATTATTTTTAAATGAGCTGTAAAATTAAGTACGGACATTATTGTTGAACTAATGTAACCTAATATTTTTACTAAAAAATTATTTGATCAATGATGTAGGATTATATTATAAGGTATGAACCTCAAGGCCGTCTCGTGTCCAATTGAGCAAAGTTGGCAGAGCTCTTGAACCTAACTGAATTTCAGCTCCAATTGTCAAGTTTTTGTATCTCACTTCGATACTTGGCACCTCCATTCCAGCCCTTTTGCATTCAACCACACCAAAAATAAATAAATATCAGGTGCAAATTAATCACATATAGGTCCCTTTCATAATATTATAACAAGCATCAATGTAGGAAAATGTTAATTCTTTTCACATGTTTTGCTGAAAGGATCTAAGGGAATCATATAAACGTTATTAGTGAGCAAAACCCACTTCAGAGTCTTATCTCCCTTCAAATCGAGAGTTCAATGTAAAAGCTTTTCTCTCAATAATAATAGGCTTTAATATTTTTATAGTGAATGTAGATAAGTTATTTACATTAACTCTCAAAATAATGTTATTATTTTGAGTTAAAAAATCAAAAAATTATAATGAAAAAGACTAATATAACATTGAAATAAATTATAATTACAAAAATGACTTGATTTTTACTTTAAAATAACGTCTTTTTGGACTCAATGTAGCTAGTTAACTTATCTACATTGACTGTAAAAAAATTACCCATAATAATAATAAGAATAATAATAATGATAATAATAGTTATTATTATTATTATCATTATTATTATTTCTAAAATTAAACTCTAACTCCTTTTCTTAAGAAACGCAAACCATTACCGCTTGTGCTACCCAATAATATTTAGGTGAAAAATGTTAATTTTAACCAAAGCTTTTAATAGAAGTTTTATTAACATACCTGACTGACTAGTCATATATAATAGGTGTGTATAATTATTTTTGGAAAAAATGAGAAAAGTGTTTGTCCTTTTAAATGACATAACTCGTGTCATTTCATTTTCACAAAGATGTGAGATCCACATCTTTATTTATTTTTTTGTCCATTCTCTCCCACATGCTTTATCTCACTTAAAATAACACAACCTTCTATCCTTTAAAATAACACATATTTTTTCCAAAAAAAAATTAGTATAAACTATAAACCAATCGGTACCCAACCTTTAATGGGGTGACAAATTTTTAACATAATTGCATATTTCGAATTTAAACTCTCGATTACTGATTAATCCGTAATAACTCTCCGTCAGTTGATCGATATTTAGGTGATCCATATTTTTGTCATTAGCTATCAACATATCATAGAAGTATTGATTAAACTGGACTGAACCAGTCAGTTTTAAATTGTTAACCAAACTATCAATCGGTCCGGTCCAGTCATTCAACCAGTTGTGCATAAGAATCTATATGAAACTGCCGAACCGTTGGTTGAACCGCATCCATTCAGGATTAAATCGGAATTGTTTTTGTAACGTGATGATAAATATGTGTTATATTTACCGCTTAGCTAAAGTCATGTGCTAGTTATAATACTTTTATTACTATTATGACGCGAACTAGCATACAGTGTTAGAGATAAAAACCACCTTAGTGTAAAATTAGTGTAAGAGTAATAATATATGGACACAAAAACTTCTCACAGATTTTACATAATTAGATCATAACCATTCATTTTTTGTTTCCTGTTCTTTCTCGGCTATTTTTTCTCCTCTCATGCGTAATTTCTGTTTGACCATCTTCTCCCTTAATGTAAACTCTAGACGAGTTGAATCATATATATATATATATATATATATATATATATATATATATATATGAAGCAAGATATTTTTATATCGGTGTAAGAGTTAGAAGTCTTACACTCAATCTTGACCATTGATTCACTTGTATCCAATGGCTCACCTTACTAAAAAATTTGAGCCCTTATATATATATAGGGTCAAAATCATTTTACACCAGTGTAAGTTACACTGTTAATCTTATCCGTTAATCTCACTTATATCTAAGGGCTCAAATTTTTTAGTAAGGTGAGTCATTGGATACAAGTGGATCAATGGTCAATATTGAGTGTAAGACTTCTAACTCTTACACCAGTGTAAAAATATCATGTCCCATATATATATATATATATATATATGGTCAGGTTATATTTATAAACTTTTTGTTTACAAACTACATTATGTCTAACCGATAATACACTCTTGAGTAGAGTGCTACCGGTCAGGGTTATATTTACAAACTTTTTGTTTACAAACTACACTATGTATAACCGGTAATACACTCTTGAGTAGAGTGTTACCGGTCAGACATAATGTAATTTGTAAGTTTGTAAAAATAAAGTTTGTCAATATAACTCTACTCATATATGTATATATGAGACATGATCATTTGACGACATTGGTGTTAAACAAAAAATTTGAAACATTATCTGAAAGTCATTAATTGCCTTGATCTAACGACTCTGATATAATATATCAAATTTTTTGTTTCAAACTTTTTGTTTGACACTGTAGCAAAGGATCTTATTCTCATATGTATATATAAAGAACCAATGTTTTTCATTCTCACAATAATAATAATAAAAAAAAATCAGCATATTCATAAAGAAAATAAGTGTAGATATATGAAAAAAAAAACATGCATGGAAATAAATTAAAAGGTTTTCTTACCTATTGAAACGTTCCTTGATGGCAGAAAGGAGCTTGTAATTATCTTGTTCATTGGTAGCGAAAGCTTCGTCAACGAGGCGTTCACGGTGAAAACGATTCAACTTTCTAACATCAACCGTTTCCATTTTCTTCTTCTTCCCCTCCCCAGAAGAAGAACCTTTGTTACTCTGATCCGAAGATGGTTTTCTAACCAATGCAAGGTTGACACGTTTCATCGTAGGCAACCTTAGAAGTGCAGCCATTTGAAGCTCCTCTTCATCTTCCTCTACCCATTCTGCATTCGAAGCCCTTGCAAACGATTCTCTTCCTGTTTCTGAAGCCATGTCGAAGTCGATTAATGTCGCCATTGATCTTTTTCTTTCCCTTTTGTATTGCTTCCTAACTAACTAGTAAGAGAGAGAGAGAGTTGTATTGTAGAGAAAGAGGACTTCTTTGTTTACGTATTTATAGTAAGGACAAAATTTGATGCAATAGATGCATGGTATTAGAGAGAATGACTTAGTCAATTTACATATTGCCAAATTTAGCATTCGATTTTTCCTCTTGTTTCCTTTGATTCTTCGTTGTCATCCCTTTCAAGATTTTTTTTTTTTTTTTTGTGGTTCACTTTCTAGAATAATTAAAACCATTTGTATAAATTTTTTTTAATTTTACACTTCGTTATTAATTATTTATTCCGTTTTAAAGTAAATAGGAATTTTTATAATTTTGTTAAGATATCAATAAGTGTCCAAAACTCTAACATGCTATTAATCTGATTTCGAGATTGAGCCTATCCACCCTATGTAGTTACTACTGATCTCAACAAGTGAATTTATCTTAGGATCTAGCTAAGACATCACTAGACCAATAACTCTTGGATTACATATTCTTAATTTTAACTTGGTAGTAATATCTAGAGATAATAATAAAATTAAAATAAAACAATTAACCATCAAGCATGTATATTATCTGATGGGGCTTATTGTAGTTTAATTAGTGATTTTGTTTAATTCGACTGGATTAATTGGATAATTGATGAATTGGTGCAAAAAAATTAAAAAGAAAAATATATAACTAATGTCTTATTGATATTTTAATATGACAAATGATTTGAAATAAAAAAGTAAAATTTCTAAGTTGAAAATTATTTTGAAATGCAGGATCAAAAGTACTATATGAGCCATTGGCTTAAAGAGCAATTCTTTTCTTTAATAATTGTTTTCTAGAAATCATTCAGTACTATAATTGAGGGTTACATACGCTGTCATTGTTTCTGTTTGACAGTTGATGTATGTTTCAAAGAGCAAACTAACAACTTGTAAAAGAACAACAGGAACTTTCTTTTTCCCATGTGTGAACCGTTTTTTACGGTACGTTCTTATTGGCTAAGTTCATTAATTAGTATGAATCTGATTTATTATCTTAATAACTTCGGCTCTTATATATGCACATTGAGATATATATATATATATATATATATATATATATATATATATATATATATATATATGATCATGACGAGAATAAGATAACTTTTGAAATACTTCCCTGTATTTTCCAAAAAAAAAAAAAAAATGACGAGAATAAGATGGGATAAATAATTGAGGCCTACGTTGCATCGACACCGACACGGAACACGAGATACGACACGACACTCCGACACGTTAATTCTAAAAAATGTTAAATTTCGACACGTTAAGACACGTTTTGATATTATATAATTTTTTAATATATGTAGTGTATATTATATTTAATATTCAATAATTTAACAAAAAATAAAGATAAACTAATAATACACATCATTTTTGCAAAAAAACATAAGATATCTCAAATGTTTATATTAAACTCAATAAAATAGTAATCTTAATCCAAGGAATCTAATAGTTGGAACTCAAAATGGAACGCAACGTAACCTTTGAACCTTTTTTGAGTCTTTGCAATGAGTATTGGAGTGTCAGAAAGTGTGGGAGTGTCAGTGAGTGTCGGGAAGTGTCGGACACAACACGTCAGGAATTTTGAAGTGTCGATGCTTCATAGATTGAGGCTATATCATAACTTTTTTGTTCTATCTATTATAGGAAACAGATCTTCTCATGTAAAAAAAAAAAAAAAGAATGATATGGTAAGATCACAATTATACAGAATGAATCAATGATTATTATTCTCCATATGATCATATCATTTTTTTAACATAAGAGGGTCTAGATCCTTATTATAATGAGTAGTTGATATAATGTTATTTCATACGGATAAGTGTATAAAACAATATAAATTTTATTATAATATCTTTTATATTATGTGCTGTTTATTTTCCATTAAAAAATATACAGAATAATATATTGATATTTTTTATTATTTTAATATTTTTTATTTACACATTAATTTTATTTATATATAGTTTATATTTTTTTAATTAATTTCTACATTTTTTGTACAATTATAATAAAAAGCAGAATTAAAATAATTTAATTATGGATAATGATACATTTAAAATTCATTTAAGCTTAATGATTTTTTAAAAAGTGTTAATTATAAATAAATAAAATACGCAATTAAAATTTTTATTATTCTTTAAATATTTATTATTTAAAAATAAATGAAAAATATTAAAATAATCTTAAAGTCCAGGGTTGAGTTCCAATTAAAGAGTCATCTTCCTTAGAGAGCACATACTTACGAGTGTTTGGGAAGAGGAATTTTTTGAGATTCCTAGAAAAGTAATAGTGATAATTTTATTTCCTCACGTTTGGTATAAAGTTTCTGAAAAAAAATTATTGGAATATGATTTTTTCGAGATTTTGTTTGTGTACAATTTTTTTTTTCAAAATGCCGTCCAAGAATACCACCAAAGGGAGGTGGTATTTGTAACATCCCGGGCGCTGACGAGGGCGGGCAGTGATCGCCGGTGCGAAAGGGCATGGACAAGGAACGACTCCTGGCAGGCTTCCAGCGACGGGGGTGCATGAATGAATCGAATCAACACCCAAAAAAGAGGGATTCCAGAGACTGTGCTGGTATGGGCCAATACAGTTGGGGGGACCTGGTGAAGTTCAGGCCGAGGTATTGCCGAGATCCGAGATCAGGATCTTGTTGATTGACTTTCGCACAAAGGCTGCTTAGCCGAGCTTGAGGGAACCATTTTTCCCAACAGTGGTATCAGAGCCCGAGTTCGACGGGTTCTGAGGGAGACGAGATGGAGACCGGTGGCATAACTCATGATGGAGATATGTTCAAGTTGACCGCAGACAACTTCACTTATTGGAGACCGATGATGGAAGATCATCTCTACTGCAAAGATTTACATGAGCCCATTATCCTTGATGAGAGACCGGCAGGCAAAACTGATAAGGAGTAGGAGATCCTGAGTCGGAAGGCGGTAGCCACGATCAGGAAATATATTGATAAAAGCCTCTTTGAGGACGTGTCCGAATTCACGAACGCGTATGAGTTGTGAACGAAGCTGGAGTCCATGATTCAGAAGAAGACTCCCAGGAACAAAGCACATCTGGTTCGCCGACTTGTGAAGCTGGAATACAATGACGGCATGAGCATGATTGAACACCTCAACACCTACAAAGGTATTGTGAATCAGCTGTCAAAGGCTGATATGAAAATTGATGAAGAATTGCAGGCATTGCTGCTGTTGAGCTCGCTGCCAGAAAGCTGGGATACTGTGGTGGTGACCCTGAATAACTCGATTCCAGATGGAAAATTGAAGATAGATGTCGTGACAGACAGCCTCCTTGGCGAAGAATCCAGGAGAAGAGAACGAGGTACTTCGAGTACGTCTGAGGCCAACGTTGCTGAGAACAAAGGGAAATCCGACTCCCGGGGTAGAAGCAAAAGCCAGGGTAGAGGTCGTGACAGACGAGACAAGTCCAGAGGTCGGTCAAAGCCGAAATATGAGTTGAGGTGCTTTTACTGTGGAAAGACAGGCCATAAGAAGCCAGACTGCTGGACCCTACAAAATGATGAGAAGAACGGCTCTGTGAAGCCGGATCAGATTATTCCCAAGAAGAGGGAAGACAAGAGCACCATTGCGGTGGCTGCCAACCCGGATGCTGAGATATTCCTCCTTGGTGAGGATAATTATTTGAATGTTGCATACCTGGATTGTTGACTCTGGTGCCTCCTTCCACGTTTCTCCACACAAAGGTTTTTTCTCCTCTTATCGAGGTGGTGATTTTGGAGTCGTGAAGATGGGAAATCAAGTGACCAGCAAGATTGTTGGTGTCGGTGATGTAACTCTGACCACGGATGTCGGGTGCCGACTTGTGTTGAAGGATGTGAGGCATGTTCCTGACATGCGTTTGAACCTAATCTCGGTAGGCAAACTTGATGATGCCGGGTTAGTGAACTACTTCGGTAGTGTTAGATGGAAGCTGGCCAAGGGAAACTTGGTCGTGGCCCGAGGTAAGAAGGAAGGCTCCTTGTACGTGATGCAAGGAAAGATCAATGGCGGAGAAGCCAATTCTGTTCGAGATGAACCTAGCTTGGAGCTATGGCACAAGCGCCTCGGCCACATGAGCGAGAAAGGGCTACAGATCCTGAACAAGAAAGGATTACTGACCGGGTTGAAAGGCCAAGCGTTGGAGAGTTGCACGCATTGCCTAGCTGGAAAGCAGCACCGAGTTTCTTTTGTGAGACCGGATCAACCTAGACGACGCAGGTATATTCTTGACCTCGTCCATACTGATGTCTGCTCCATGTCGGAAAGATCCCTTGGAGGAGCTCAGTACTTTGTTTCATTTATTGATGATCATTCCCGCAAAGTGTGGGTATTTTTGTTGAAGTCTAAAGACCAGGTACTCCAATCCTTTAAAGAATTCCATGCTATGGTTGAAAGGGAGACTGACAAGAAATTGAAGGTGGTCCGATCTGATAATGGTGGTGAGTATTGCGTCCCATTTGATGCATACTGCAGAGCGGTCGAGATTCGACTTGAGAAGACGCCCCCCAAGACACCTCAGCTGAATGGACTGGCTGAGCGGATGAACAGAACTATTGAAGAGAAGGTTTGAAGCATGTTATCCAATGTCGGATTGCCGAAATCATTCTGGGGAGAAGCCGTCAAAACAGCTGTTGACTTGATCAACCTCTCACCATCACGGCCACTTGAAGGAGAAATTCCAGAAGAAGTCTGGACAGGTCGGAAAGCGGCCTATAATCAACTGAAAGTGTTTGGATGCCGAGCTTTCGTGCATATCCCTAAAGATTAAAGGGCCAAACTTGATGCAAAGACTAAAGAATGCATTTATCTTGGTTCGCCGAGATGTGAGTTCGGGTTCCGACTTTGGAATCCAATCAATAAGAAGATCGTGAGAAGCCGAGATGTGATCTTTCATGAGCATGAGAACATTCATGACATCTCGAAGCCCAAAGTCCGGGTTACTGTCAAACGTGAAGAACCCATCCCTCCTGTCCGAGTTGAAGCAGGGGGAGAAAATCAAGAAAATGAAGAAAATGATGATCAGATGACCAAGACACTGAGGTCCGAGTTGATGATGAGATCCGGGATGAGAATGATGAACCGGGTTCTCAAGCTGAAGAACAGCCGAGATATCCAACTCGAGAAAGAAGACCCTCTACAAGATACCCATCTGATGAATACACCGTTGTTGCTGAAGACGGTGAGCCTCAGAGTTATGATGAGGCTGTGATGAGCTCAGAGAAAGAAGAAAGGGAAAAGGCAATGCAAGATGAGATGAAGTCTCTGCATGAGAATCAGACTTATGAGCTGACCGAGTTGCCTGAAGGAAGACGAGCTCTGAAGAATAAATGGGTCTACAAGATTAAGAATGAAGAGAACGGGCAAAAGCCGAGATACAAAACCCGGATTGTAGTGAAAGGCTGCAATCAGAAGAAAGGAGTTGATTTTGAGGAGATTTTTCTCCTGTGGTGAAAATGACCTCGGTCTGAACCGTGTTAGCCATGGCGGCTTCGATGGACCTCGAGGTAGAACAAATGGACGTGAAGACAGCATTTCTTCACGGTGATTTAGAAGAAGAGATATATATGGAGCAACCTGAAGGGTTCCAAGCTCCAGACCAAGAAAACTTGGTATGTCGGTTGAAGAAGAGTCTCTATGGCTTGAAGCAAGCACCTCGGCAGTGGTACAAGAAGTTTGAATCATTCATGACTGATCATAAGTTTGGGAAGACAGAAGCTGACCACTGCGTATCTGTGAAGAGGTATGAGGCTGGAGATTTTTTGATCTTGTTGTTATATGTTGACGACATGCTTATAGTAGGGAAAGACAAATCGAGGATAGCCGCCCTGAAAAAGGCGTTGAGCTCGTCCTTCGCAATGAAGGACCTCGACCCTGCAAAGCAGATTCTCAGAATCAAGATCATCCGAGATAGACAGAAGAAGCTACTGTGGCTGAGTCAAGAGAAATATATTGAGAAGATTTTGAAGAGATTTAGCATGGACAAAGCCAAAACAGTGAGCACCCCCCTAGCCGGACACATAAAGCTGAACCAGAAGCAATGTCCGAGATCTGATGAAGACAAAGATGAGATGATGAAGGTCCCTTACCAATCCGCTGTCGGAAGCTTAATGTATGCAATGGTTTGCACTATACCCGACTTGGCGTATGCTGTTGGAATGGTAAGCCGGTATTTGTCAAACCCCGGCAAAGAGCACTGGGAAGCAGTGAAGTGGATCTTCAAGTACCTCCGAGGTACGACCAACTTATGTCTCCGATTTGGAGAAGGAAAAGCCGAGTTGCAAGGCTACTCGGATTCTGATTTAGGGGGAGACGCCGACTCGAGGAAGTCGACTACAGGATATTTGATGAGATTTGCCAGAGGAGCTGTCTCTTGGCAATCAAGACTTCAGAAATGTGTTGCACTATCGACAACTGAGGCTGAGTACATTGCCGCTACTGAGGCAAGCAAAGAAATGATGTGGATGAAGAAGTTCCTCATGGAACTCGGCCATGATCAAGACAAGCACGAGCTGGGTTGTGACAATCAAAGCGCAATCCATCTTGCGAAGAATTCAACCTATCACTCCTGCACTAAGCATATTGATGTGAGGTATCATTGGATCCGGGATGTGGTGTATAATGACCCTAACTGGTAAATCTTAGTTAGAGATTTAATTTAAGGATTTAAATGCCATAATGAGATTCAGTGAGCGATTTCGAGTATTTTGACTGTAATCATGACTATGTTATGAACAGTGCGTTCTGCCGGAGAATTTACAGTTTTGTGAATTAACCGGTAGAGCTTAAAAAGAGCAAAATAATTTTAGAGACAGAATTTGATAATTCTGACGACAAATATGAGTTCAGAACGAAAAATTGTATAGTCTGGCACTTTCCGTGAAAATCTCGTGAATAGTGTTTCTACCGGGTATTTTGTACTGCTGTTTAAGCAACCGGTAGAGTCCAGAAATAAATAATTGATGAAATAAGAATAAGAAAGTCCAATATATGCCAAGCAAGTCAAAATAGGCCCAAGAAAATGATAAGTTTATAAGTTAAGTTCAGAAGTGAGCGAAGTACAGTTAGTGATTCACAGTGCATTTCGTTAAAACGGTGCAAAAACCATACTGTGAATTATGAATATTGTTTAGTAACAAATTAAAATTAATGTAAATGATTTTAGAAAAATAAAAATATTTCCGTAGATATAAGTGAGTTCCGGGTCCGTTAAGTTAAAATACGCAATAGAAAAACAACCGGTTAAAAAGCCACATGTGCTTAAAAACCCCTAAGTCACTTAAATTCACTATTCCCTTACACTTTCTCTCTCCTTTTTCCCTTCCCCACCCGTGACAGCCATGGCAAAAGGAAGCTTAGGGTTTATTTTTGTTTTTCTTTGATTTCTCCATGATTAAGCAACCAAATCTTTCACCCATTATACCAATCTCATAGGAAATCATCCAAGGAAGCTATTCCAACCCTCCATTTGAGCTGATTTCGTTTGTGGAGGGAGATATTTGTCATCCCAAATTCGTGCACTATTCATCAAGAGGGCAAAATGAAGTTTTTGATGGAGATTCTCTTGGTGTAGGTCTTCTAGGCTTTGGGTAGTTGATTTGAGGTAACAAACCTCTATTTCCATGGTATTATTTTGATGATTTAAGTTATAAAAGTTATGAGCATGTTTTAGTAGGAAAGCATTGTGTATTAAACTTTGATTTAATGATGAATCTTTGATGTTTTGGATTTAAGAAATGAAAATAAGCATTTGTGTGTGTGTAAAAAAATTAGAAAAAAATGCTATGCTTTCCTCTACATGTTCGGCCATCATAGGTGAAGAGTAGGATGTTGTGCACAATTTTATCTTAAGTATTAGGAAGGTTTAATGTGTAGGAATTAAGTGGAAATTTGATAAATTAGTGAGAATGCCAAAGTGGGAACAATTATATGAAATATGCCCTTAGGTTTAGGCCTTGTGGGGCTTTGGAGGGACTTTATGCTCCAAAAATTAAGTTGGAACCTTATGAAAACATGTATTTGTTTGTGTAAGTTACATGTAAGTGAAGAAAAAGAACCTTTGCCTATGTCCTTGTAGTGTTCGACCTATAGGGTAGTTAGGGATATATTTTGTACATTTTATTTTAAATAAAATGTGTTGTAATAAATTGTATAAAGGTGATGAGTTTTGAAGAAAAATAGCACGATATATGTTGAAAATTCCTAAGGGAATGGTTGATTAAATTAAAGAACACCAACGGTTATAATGAGGTCTAGACTTGTGTATTGGCATAGGATTGGCAAAAATGCAAAGAAAGGAAAATAAGCGATAAAATGTATGCTTATGAAATAATTATGGTATTGCATCATTTTATTGATGCATTGTAAATTATTCTCTAGGTGTGCCTAGGGATTGAGAAGGATCGGAAATCTCTTGAAGCGATAAAAGTAACTTGTTCCACAAGTAAGCGTATTGGTAAAGCTTCAAGAGGTAAGCTCTATGTTTAAGGAGTCTTTTCCTGCTTGAGTGCTCCACCATGGTTAGTGAACTATGGTTGGACTGTATGACTGTGATTTAGATGCTTTGTATAGATGCATTCATATAGAGTTATTTGATAACATGATATGTTTTGCTCTGATATGACTTCTGTAATTTGATTTCTGTAACAATCTCTGGCCATTGATTGTATAGTACCCGGACGTCCGCTTTGGGGTCCTCCCTCGGGACTGATGGTGTACTCCTCTGATATGTCTGGTTCCGCTTTGGGGTCCTCCCTCGGGAACACGTGCGTTGATTTCCGCTTGGGGTCCTCCCTTGGGAATGACGGCGCACATCTTTGATATGATATGGATATATGCTCTGTTCTGTTATGATATCTGTTATATGTTGTATTTGTATACTCTGTATCTGACTTTCATGCAGGAGTGAGCCAGGGGTATGGAGAATTCTCTATAAACCTGGAGCTTATTGAGATTTGTAATCTCACCCCTCTTTGGGGACACATTTTCAGGTGCCCAGATTTCCGGTGAGTCCTCACTAGGCAGGGACACGACACGTGGCTGAGGCAGTTGACAGACCGGATTTTGAGTGGCTGTAGGCTGCTACCTTTTTGGAGTGTTTGATGTATTTTAGTATTTTCGCATTTGATGGATCATGATATTGATCCTTTATTTTGTATATGGCATGTATATGTTTTGTACATGTCTGTCAGTTTCATGCATGTACATTTGAGTATTCAGGAACGTTATATGATGATGTAGTATTCAGATAGGTTTATGTTTTGATGGCATGCTGTTAGATTTAGTGGCACGGAGCCATGTTATGCATGCGCCCATGTATGGGTATTCGATTATATTTGGATATCTGGTATTTCTGAATTGATATGTTGTATAAACTGTTTATCAGGAAATGCTTCTGAGTGGGATTGGAAAATCTCCAGTTGTCTGATTTATAGAGGAAACTCTGCCCGATTTTCGTTTACGCCGAGAAAGAATTAAGTTAGAAAAAGAAAAAGTTAGCTCATATTTTCATAAGTTAAGTCTTCCGCTGTTTTCTGTTTTATCATATGTATGTTAATTGAACCGGCTCGAGACGGGGATGTTACATTTATGGTATCAGAGCAGTTTCTCTAGAAGAGCCTGTGAAATATTGCATGAACTGTTCGGGTTGTTATATTCTTGAGTTTTTCTTGGAATACTATGATATGCATGTCTGATCACCGAGTGTGAGCGTAGCTAACTCATTCCTTTGTGTGAAATATGCAGAATTATGGTTCGCCCAAGAAGGACTTCTGATCCTCCTATTGACCCGACCGATCCAATATTAGCAGATTTGGCAAGACCCCGACTAAACCAGCGGGGAAATACTTCACAGCCAGATCCAATGATAATGGCCTTAACTGAGATGCAACAAAATATGGCTGCAGCTAGGCAGCGAGAGCTAGAAGTGATGATGAAAGCAAATCAAGATCTGTTAGAGGCTAATAGGTTGGCCAATCAAGAAATGATGGCAGCAAGCAGAATGGCGAATATTGAAATGATGAGATTACTCTTGGTTGAGGTGAGGGCGGGTGGGCAAGGTCCACAGCCACAACCTTTGCAACAGCCACAGCCTGAGCCACAACCACAACAGCCTGTTCCTCCTCCTCATAATCCCATTGTTGTGGAGGGTGAAGGAAATAATGATGTGAATGAAGAATCTAGTCACAGGGGTGGTGTGGCACAGCCAGCCACTAATAGAGAGCAAAGAGAAAGAATGCTAAATGCCTTCCGAAAACATGCACCACCAAATTATAAAGGAGGCATTGATCCTATTGCTGCAATTCAGTGGTTAGAAGAATTGGATCGCGTTTTTACTGTCATGGAGTGTGATGATCAGCAGAAATTGTTGTATGCTTCTTATATGTTGCAGAATGATGCAGCTGATTGGTGGAGAAATACCCGTCTGCCCTTGGAATGTCAGGGTTATGCTATTACCTGGCCTTTATTTGAAAGGCAATTCTTGCTGAAATACTTTCCGGCTGAAGCCCGGATAAGGAAGAAGGGTGAATTTGAAGAACTAAAGCAGGGTCAGATGTCTGGCCAAATACTCTCATTTCCAGAGAGCTCCACCTACAGAAGATGACTTGATTTTTAAATTTCATAGAGGATTACATGATAACATCTCTGAAAAACTTGCAGGTGACTCATTTGATACTTTTGCTGCACTTGTTAAAAAGTGTAAAAATATTCAAGAATATTACAGAAGGAAGCATAAGGACCAATCTGCTCCTAATTCTGGTCCTAAAAACACATCTGGGAATTCTAAAGGAAAAGGGTTGCAGGTTAGACAGTCTGATGGTAAGTTCAAAAAGGCGGGACGGGTGGTAAAGGCCTTGAAGGAAGGAGATTCCGGGTATGTTTTATTGGGATGTCTGGTTGGCGTCAACAAGGAGCCAATTTTTGTTATTCCGATTGTCTCTGAGTTTGAGGATGTCTTTCCGGATGAAATTCCGCACTTTCCTCCAGAGGGAAATTGAATTTGCAATTGACTTATTGCCTGGTGTGGGACCTATCTCTCTTGCCCCATACCGGATGTCACCTAGAATTATCTGAATTGAAGAAGCAGATTGAAGACTTGTCCAGTAAGAATTTTATCAGACCGAGTGTGTCTCCGTGGGGAGCACCGGTGATCTTTGTTAAGAAGAAGGATGGGTCTATGAGATTATGTACAGACTACCGGCAGTTGAACAAGGTTACTGTTAAGAATAAGTATCCTTTGCCGCGGATAGATGATTTGTTGGATCAGTTGCGGGGTGCGACTGTATTTTCTAAGATTGATCTCCGGTCCGGGTATCATCAAATCCGGGTAAAGCCAGATGACGTCTCTTTTTACAAGCTTTCATGTTCGTT